AATTAAGAAAGGTAGCACATGCATAAAAGTTTTAATTATTAAATTTATTTTTTCTTTTAAATTTTGTATTATTTTTACAATTATAAAAATATTTTTAATTCATTCATTATTAACGTATTTTAATATTTTTATTTATTATGACATATATTTTAATAAGATATTATTTTTTATTAATATAAACGGATGCATTTGGTTAACTAAATCTTATGGTTAAATTTAAATTTAAATTTTTTTAAAAAAATATTTATTATATTAGACATCTAAAAATATATAATATTTCATATTAAAAATATATTAAATGTTATATAATTATTTAAAAATTTTAAAAATATATTAAATGATACAGAATAAAAAAATTAATAAATAATAATTTGTATTAAATTTTATAATATTTCATATTATCAATATATAATATATTTTGAAAAAGAAGAATGTATTTAGAATGCATTTCGTTAGAAATTTTAATCATACATTTATTAATAAATGATTTTAATATATAACTTATATCATAAATTTAATCACAATTTTGAAAATATAATTTATTAAATAAACTAAAAATACGTATAAAAGTTATAAATTATTTATAAGTGAGCAGTAGTATTGTTAAGGATCTAGGCGAGAAGCAGTGTTCATTGACGTTAATGTGGGGTATCGATCTGATTCCAGCGTGAAACCCAGCGATTTTGTCCATCAAATATTTGGTAAGTTGGATGGATCAACGAGTCTTTATTGTTTGTTTGGAAAGTGAACGTTGGATCCAGCTGGGACAATTGACTTCTCTTCTGCACACACAGTTCGTTTTTGCTTTCTGCTGCCGATGATTTCGAAGCCGCAAAGTTAAGCATTTGGTTCATACCCCCGATGGGATTAATAAAGGGGACATGCAAACTTTGAAAGTTACAACACAGAACATGGCCTCATTTATACTATATTTAGAGTTTGTATGTGGTTGCTTATGGCTTGATCATTAAGTTCAATTAATTTAGCTGTGCTTATCAACTTAATGGGCTCTAATGTCATTTGCTCACTCACAAGTCACAATTCTTGTGATTCCCTTCTTATGGTTGAAAAATCTCTTGAACCACCTTCTTACTTAAACTAATCTATCTTTCCTAATATTCAGGTTACAGCTGTGCGCTGTAGCTTTTAGCCACCAAAAACACACTCTTGACGATGACATCCAGCTCCAACTGTTGGTGTATTAAAGGCCTGTAGGATTTTGCCACGTGAATTTTGCTGAAATGGTACGAGTTGGTGTAGTTTAGATTTAATATAAATGTGACGGACATCTTGTAACTAAACTTACAGATCAACTCAATTTCATAAAGATTGGAGAAACAATCTAGACAAACCTTGGGATCCAGCATGTCTATTAATCACGTGTATTATTATATCATAACATTTGAAAAACCAATATATTATTTAAATTATTAAAATTATATACATTTATTAATTTTTTTTAAAATTTATAAAAAAAACTCTTTGTAATTATTAAAAAAATCGTCATTTTAATCTCAGAGTTATAAGCTACGTGTAATCTAATTTATAAAATTATTGAATTTAGTCTTTAATTATTTTAAATAATATAATATTTATTTATTATTTTTCTCATCTTAAAATAAAAGTGTGTTATTTAATAACATAGATATTAAGGAATTTTTTAAATTTAAAAACTAAATATTTTGTCATAATTTACTATACTAAATTGATATATATTTATAATATTAGGGGTTAAAATAATTAATTTTTTAGAAACTAAAAAATTTATTTTATGATTTCAAGAACTAAGTTTATAATGGAATCATGTGTGGACACATTATTAAAAAATTAAATCATAATAATAAATATACTAGAGTTCAATCTTTGCTAGATGAATCAACAAAATAATTATGTGAAAATGTAAAAAGTTTTGCTTAGATGTAATATATTAAACAATTTATAAATTTAGTTTTATTTTATTTTATTTTTATAAAAAAGAGTTTAATTATTGTATTGTTTATTAGATAAAACTCGTAATTTGGTTTTCTAATTTTATTTCAGTTTAATTCTTTAAAATTATTTTTTTTACTTCTTTATATTTTTTAATTTTGTTAAATTGTTGATTTTATACTTTTAGTGAAAGAAAAAACATTCTAATTGTAAAATAAATAATTTAAAAAAGGGAACAAAATAATATTATAAATCCAGAGAATTGAATACTATTTCTATCATGTAATATTATAGTCAAACTATTATAATGTGATAGCATACATCGTATTAAAATTTTGAAAACAAGAATGAGCTTTTTTAAAAAACTTATTCTTATTGAAAATTTAAAATGATAGGCGCTATGCATCTGTAAAAGAGCTTAACTATTATAATATACAATGCAATGATTAAAATCTTTCATTAATGTCACATATGAAGAACATTTATTTTCGTATTATTGAACTTGAATATAGCGTTTTAAAACTTATCTTCAAGTATATACTGTCTATTATTTTACCATTACCACCAAAAGTTTTTGCGTCTTGAGGTCTATAAGACAATGAATATTTAACTAAATAAAAGCCTGAAACCCGAAAATGCAGAAATGAGAGTTGGGGAGAAGTTTTTGTTAAGTTGTCTTAGTTTTAAATATTGAAGGGCGTTCTTTTCTGAGAAAATTGCAAGCAACAAAGGAGAGCAATGCTCCATGCATTACCTTTTCATGGAAAAGATTAATTCCGTGTGGATTTCTCTGGGTTCTTGATTGTGAAATACTGAATCGTATACCTCTTCGATTTCACTGGTTTTCAATTGACACTTGTACGAGGTAACCCTTTCTTTGTCAGGCCCATCTTACCAACCCTCTCTCTCGCCCCAACTCTCTGACCAGAAAAAAAAAGAAGTTAGATCCGTTAAATTTGTACATTTATATCACTTAATAGTTGAAGTAAATTAATTTTATAAAAAATAAAATTATTAGGTATTTATATTATTCTTTAACAAAAAATATGTTTTAAAAATATAAATAAATATTATATTTTTGAATAAAATATTTATAAATATATAAATTATATAAAATTTGACATACATAATAAAAAAATAAAATATAATTCAATGAATAAATTAATCAATTTTATATTTCATAAAATATTATTAAGTGGTGTACGTGTTTTAAATTTGATACTTACTATCAATGACTCTGAATCTATAAAGTTGGCAAAAGTTAACAAAAAGGAGGAAAAGTTGGCAACAAAAAAAAAAAAAACTACTGAAAGACCAAAATTGTCCAAAAAGAATACATGATTCCAATTCTTGACGATAAATAAATAAATAAATAAAATTCTTTCACTGTAATTCCTTATCTTTGATAACAGTAGTACTATATTTAGAACCCAAAAGATAATTTAGAATGATTTGTGATTTCCTGAAGAGCTGAGGCACTTTTTGCACTAGATTCCTTGTTACCTTTTAGATGGTTTTTGCTTCTTATAATGATATTTTGATATGGTTTATGCAATTCTTTTTTGTAATCAAATAGTAATGATGATAATAATGGGCCTTCTTAAATACTTGATGGTTTAATTATTATTTTGGGCGTTTTAATTTGAACTTTGCAATTTCGGTCCTTTAATTTTTTATGGTAATTAAGTATTTTTATTTTTCAAAAATCAGTAAATTTGATCCTCAGTAATCTAAAACTCTAAAATTCTTAGTTTTTATTATTTTTTATAATTTAAATTGATTAAATTTTCTTATACTCAAAATTAACAAATTAAAATATCAAAATAACCTAAAATAAAAAATAATTTTTCCATTGTATATTTTATAAAATATTTCAAATTTTATCAAGTTTCACTAATTTCTTACTTATAAAATTTTAAAATTATTTCATAATTCAATTCCATTACTAACATCCCAAAAATTTAGATAAAAAAATTAAAAATTTTAAGTGAAAAGTACACAAAATTATTTGGCGCAAAAAAACGTGAAAGGTCCAAAACTACACATTCTAGAGACTAGAGAGATTAAAAGTTGAACTCAATCTTAATTTATTATTTTTCTTTTCGAGGACAATTACGATAGGAATTTTTTAGAATGGAAAGAGAAAAAAATGGAAGAGGATATATATATATAGTTTTTTTAAAACATATAGACTAGTCATATTTTTATCATCGTAGATAATATATAACTTTCATAATTTTAAAAAAATCCTCTTCCCCTTTAAATTATCTCTTCAAAACAATCCCTTAGTAAATGCTTGCACTCCTTTGCATTTGGTATCCATATCGCGAATGGTAATGGTTGGTACTTTGTGGGATAATGTTTCTTTCTTTTCTTTTCTTTTTTCTACGGAGCTTGCCTCTTTGGTTTAAATATTGCTAAAGAATCGCAGTGTGGTGTGTGATAAACTCTTCAGCAAATGATAATTTCCTTTCAATCTTATAGCCACAAAGCTATGAAATTGATTATAATGAGGAAGTCGTTAGTTACGACAACCCAAATACTTTTTGGCATTTGATTTGAAGCGGCTACAAGATATTTTCCACCTTTGACTTTAACGATAAGAAGCTAAAGAGCTGCAGTCTTTAATTTCTAAAATGTTTACAAATAATTGATGTGTTGCATTTAGATGTATGAACAAAATAGTTTTGCGAGTGCATTCTGATTTTAAATCCTTTAATATTCCAATTTTCAAATAATAATTCTAAAATTTTCTATTTCTTTCTTACAAATCCACCTAAATGAATATTTTCATTTAATACTTATTCATAAAATAGTAATATTATTAGGAGGATGCAGGAAAGCTAGTTTTCAAATCTTCACTCTCAGTGCATTCATTACTACAATGGCAAATATCAATGGGGATTAACTTTTCACCGATTTTCATGAAACATCCCTGATCACAAGCATTCAAGATGTTTTGACTCGAATTTGTGTACATGTTCTATTCATGTCTAATTCATCCTCACCAAATGTTGAAGATGAACATGAATTTGAATTTTGGGGGTGATAGAGTTGTTTTCAACTTGCGTTTATACTTGATCACCTTCAATACATTCACTTACCTCATTTCTGGGATGTTCATGTACCTGTGCAGTACATACTAATGTTTGTGCCTTGGTAGCTTCATCCACCCAATTTAATCTCGCAATAAATGCTAGCAACAAAACCAAGCAGGTAACAATACCAATCAAGAGTCCTATGAAGAATCCAACTAGTCCAAAACCAAGCTTGAAGGCAAAAACCACGCCCAATGGCAGGGCCAGGAAGTAGAACCCACCAAGGTTTGCATACATACCTAGCCAAGGTCGAGCAGTACCTCGTACTATGCCTCCACAAATTGTCACAGGAAAATTAAACACTTCCACTAGAGCCATCAACAACATTGTCTTCTTCACTCCCTTTATAATTTCCTTGTCATGGCTGAACACATTCCCCCAACCCCCCCTAGCAGCCACCATCATCAAACTACCAATGCAACCCGAGAAAACACCAATTGCCAAGGTCACACATGCTGATTTGTAAGCTTGACCAGCTCGGTTAGCACCAAGCTCATTGGACACACGAGTGGAAACACACGTGGCCAGCGATAGCATCACTGAGTAAAGCAAATAGTCAAAGTTTAACACAATGGCTAAAACTCCCAATGCTTGCTTAGCGTTTGCAAAGTGGCCAGTAAGTAAAACTAGAATCTCATAACACCACCATTCAAGGCACGTGTTAAGGCAACACGACCCACAAAGCTTGATTAGCCTTATCCAATCCTTGATGCTATGATCCCACCACCCTCCTCCTTCTTTCCACCACCTTCTCCCATCTCTACTTTCAAGAATCACAACATAAGTGGCAAGAAGAACCACAATTATGAGATCAGTTATCCAAACCGCAATTGAAACTCCTCTGAGTCCCATGGCCTTGGCAAGTACCATGTTAACGGGTATGTGAAAGGCTAGTGACACAGCATAACCAAACATGGAAGGAAGAGTCATGTATTGAGAGCTAAGATAGGTTTTTAGGGGACAAAGGAATGAAATGACCCACAAGTCAGGTATGAGATGGGACACAAAGATCCTAGCCACGATTGAGATGTCTTGTTGTTGGCCAAAACGAATCAAAATCTTGTCAACATGAAGCCACAAGAAAGATATGGGAAGTGTTACCAATAGCAACAAAAGGGTTGTCATTACAAGGGTCTTGTGAAGGAGCCTCACGTTCCTGGCTCCATGCGCTTGTCCACAAATGGGTTCCATGGCACCACTTAACCCGTTCAAGAGAGAGAAACCGGTGACATTAGCAAAAGTGAACCCAAGTGCTCCACCAGCTAAGTTTAGCTCCCCAAGGTGCCCAAGAAAGGCTGTTGTGATGGCTGTCTTCGCAAACCAAGCCATGTTCATTGGCACAAGCGGAAGAGCTATCCCACTTTGAACTCTTAGCTCTTCTAACAACATCTTCACAAAATTGGAAGGGCATTTTTGAGTATGCGATGATGAAGGAGATGAGGGGTGTTGGTTAACCTTATTGCTTGTGTTTGGGCCCTCATTAAGTTTTGATGTGGCGGACATTTTTGCTGAGATAATGTGTTGGTGGTATTGTTGCAAAGTTCTACTTGAGGAAGAATAGATTGGTGGTATCAACTTAGCAAGTTGCTGCCAACTGAGGAAGAGGTTGTTGGTGGTGAAGGTTTTATAACGCTTGATGAACCATAAAAGAAAAACTTTCAGTTATTGAAAAAATGTCGTGTAGTGAAAAAGATTGCGAATTTTAGGGGTCTACATGATCCTAAAGTTAAAAAGAAATTGCGTTTACCAAGTACCAACTAATCACTCACTAGGGTAAGAAAGCCAAGCAAAAAATGTGAAAGATATATTACCCGAAAATAAGATGGACAAACCCGCAAAACTGGTCGAAAAGATGGATCTGGACAAATTCCAATGAGAAAAAAAGAACGTCCTCTACACTCTGAACCATTAGTTGTGTTGTGGCTTGTCAGCCATGTGAGATATGGTTGTCCCCATGCTCTTGATGTCATGCATTATGAATTACAATTTACGGAAACCTATCAAGGGTGTCATCAACTAATCTGAAATTGATTGGATGCAAAATGTGATGTAAACATTATTATTTCATGTATTTAATATGATTTTTTTATCCTGTAAAATATTGTACAAATTATAAGTTATATATGACAAATTTTTATTAAAATTATAAAATTTAATGCAATTCAATGCATTAGTAATATTAAATACTACAATTTTTTATGAAAGTTGATCATAATCATCATATATAAATTTATTTTAATCAACTTTTTGAAAAGTGAGAAATATCAAGGGGTAGTTAAAGCCAAAATATTAAGTGTTTTCTTTCTTAATTGATGACTAACGGAACCCTTAAAAATATAGTAAAAGAAGAAGGAGTTTTCTTTTATTTCAAGTTTACTGATTCATTTATCTAAAATAGGCTATATAGCCAAATACAAGAAAGTGCAAATCAAGTTTAATACAATCAGAGAGTGCTACTTAATTGAAGGGGAATAAAATCTAACAGAATGACAACTCATCAAATATAGCATAATATCCAGTAACTAATTTATTCTTACATAGATAGATAATGTGACTCAGTAGTTTGTTACAACATTGGAATCTCTAGATAGTATAATCCTTGAGACGGGTTGGAGTGGAGGTGATCCTTTTGGGCCTTGAATTAGCTAAGGGAGGTGTGGCCTGATTGCTAACAACACCCGACTCTGGAAAAAGCACCTTGTCCTCAAGGTGATAATTGAAGCTGAGTTGTTCCCATTCTTCCCAACTAGTGTCATCGAGAGAAAGCCTATACCATTGAACTAGAACTAGTTTGGTTGGAGGGCTTATGGAATTATCCATGCGAGTTGCCAAAATTGTCGGGGGTTGAATGATGAGTTGGTCATTGAATGCCCCTATAGGTAAATGAGTGATCTTGGGATTTGTGCCATGGTGTCGTTTCAGAAATGAGTAGTGGAAAACATGATGTATTTTGGACTCAGCTAGTAAATCCAATTGGTAAGCAACAGGACCAATGCGGGCTAGGATTTTGTAGGGCCCATAGAACCTCTTGGAAAGCTTGTTATAAGTTGAACAAGAGAGAGAATGCTATCGATATGGGCGGAGACAGACATACACCAAATCACCTACTTCATAAGTTACATCAAGGCGTTTGGCATAAAGCTTCATAGTGGCCTGAACTTTGAGTAATTTCTTCTACAACTGTACTAACATTGAATGGCGCGATGCTAACAAGGTATCTACAGCTTCCACAGAAGAAGAACCAAGTAAATAATTTGGCAAAGATGGGGCTGGCTTGCCATAAATAATATGGAAAGGTGAGTACCCGGTGGAGGAATGAACAGAAGTATTATAAGACCATTCAACTAGGGCTAAATACTTAGGCCACTACGATGGATTGGAATGAACAAAAGAGCAAAGGTATTACTCTAAAACTCTGTTAAACACCTCAATTTGCCCGTCTGTTTCCGGGTGATATGATGTACTCATTCGAAGCTTAGTGCGACAAAGGTGAAATAATTCGCGCCAGAACTTACTAATGATATGAGGTCACGATTGGATACAAGACTGTGAGGGATGCCATGATATTTACAAATAATATCCAAACATAACTGAGCCATCTTAGAGGCAGAATATTGTGTTGGCAATGGTCCCAAATGAACACTCTTAAAGAATCTGTCTACAATAACCAAAATAACAGTAAATCCTTGAGAAGGAGATAATCTGGTAATAAAATCAAGGGATAAATTTTCTCAAACATTCGTGGGCATGGGTAGGGGTTGCAAAAGGCTGGCTGGTTTGAGGGTATCCGGTTTCACTTGTTGGCAAATAGTGCATTGCTGGATAAAAAGTTTAACATCTTTACATAGACCTTCCCAGTAAAAATTGGCCAATAATCTGGCCACTATTTTTGTGATGCCCATATGACCACCTAATGGGGTACTATGATATTTATCCACAAGCTTAAGGCGAAAACTATTACTAGGATTAAGCCACAAACGATTTTTGAATAAAATTAAACTATTGTGTAACTTATAATCTAGAAGAGTAGCAGGTTCATTTGATCCATAAAAATAAAGTTAGGCATGGAAAGGGCGAAACATATACTAGTAGAAGTGTCCAGAAGTCGAGAAAGTGCATCAGCAACAACATTGTGGGGGCCTGACTTGTAATGAACCTTATATTATACTCCAATAATTTAGAAAGATAATGTTGTTGTTCTGGAGTTTGAATTACTTGGGATAAGATCTCTTTCAGGATTTTATGATTATTATTGATGACAAAGGGGTGTCCCAAAATGTATTAGCGCCACTTCTTTACGGTGGAAGTGATGACATGTAATTTGTGTACATAAGTTGACAAATTGAGAAGCTTTGGGCAGAATGGCTTGCTGAAAAATGCAACTAGATGATTGTTTTACATGAGAATTGTGCACATAGCTGTACTGAAAACGTCTGTTTCAATAGTGAAAGAAACTGAGAAATCCAGTAAAGCAAGCATTGGAGCTAGAGTCATGGCTTGCTTAAGGGCATCAAATACACGCTGAGCTTCTAGTGTCTAAATAAAAGCATCCTTGCGAAGTAAGGCAGTAAGAGGAGCGACGATGGTAGCATACCCTTTGACAAACTTCTGATAAAAATTGGTAAGGCCTAAGAAGCCACACAGAGCTTTGACATTGCAAGGGGGAGGCCAATCCAGCATTGCCTGAATCTTTGATGGATCAAGTTGAACTGCAGCTGCAAAGATGATGTGTCCTAAATACTCCAATTGCCTTTCTGCCAGCAAACATTTGGAAGGTTTGAGATAAAATTGACCTTCCAATAAGCATTGGGAAACCTATTCCAAATGTGAGATATGTTGTGGGAAGGAAGGGTTGTACACAAGAATATCGTCGAAAAATACTGCAACAAAACGACGAAGAATTGACCTGAGAAGATCATTCATAGCTGCTTGGAAAGTTGAAGGAGCGTTACAGAGGCTAAATGGCATCACTCTGTACTTGTAATGTCCCTGTTGGGTGCAAAAAGTAGTTTTGGCAATATCATCTAGATGCATCAAGATCTGGTGAAAGCCCTGTCGGAGGTCAAGCTTAAAAAACCAGGTTGCACCACTAAGCTCGTCCAAAAGCTCATCAATGGTTGACATAGGAAATCGATCACGGATAGTAATGGCATTAAGAGCCCTGTAATCAACACAACAGTGCCACTACCGCCCTTTTTGCGCACCAATAATACAAGCGAAGAAAATGGACTTTGGCTTGGTTGAATCATAGATTTATCAAGCATCTCTTGGATATATTTTTCCAATTCACAATTTTGTGAGTGTAGGTATCAATATGGTTTGGCGTTGACCGATGTGGAATTGGGGAGAAGGTGAATATGATGATCAGTGGGGTGAGAGGGAGGCAGTGATTGTGGTGGCTGAAATAATTTTTCAAAACGATGGAGAAGCTATGTGATTTCTAGGGGTGGCGGTGATGTATTGGAGGGTGGATGAGTTGGGGTAGAATTAGGTAGGGATATTAGTTGTATGGTGAATAGTTTGAAGGCCTCATTAGTCTGGAGACAACGCTTAAGTTGTGTGCTGGATATTGGGTCGGGTTGGTAGTGTTGGATCCCCGTAAGGTAATGGGGTGGCCTTGTTGGGTAAATGAAATGGTGAGTTGGTTATAATCTATGAGAACAGGCCTAATGGACTTGAGCTAGGGAGCGCCCAAGACGATATCTACACTTTTCAAGGGAAGGATGTAAAAGTTAACATGGAGGGTGTGGTCATGAATCTGAATTTTCACATCAGGGCAAAGATGGTCGCATCGCATAAGGTTTTCACTACCAACCATGATGATGAGTGGGTGGTAAGGAATTGAAGGAAGCTCCAAGAACTTTGCTACACGATTCTGAATGAAGTTGTGATCACTACCACTGCCAACGAGAATGGAAACGGAGTGGTTGTCGATCTGGCTTTATAGTCGAATAGTTGAAGAACCGATGCCGCCAGTGAAGGCATAGAGGTTGGCTTGTGAAGGAGTTTCATTAGGATTTGGATCTGTTTGCGGTGGGGGAAGGACCAATTAAGGGTATGGAGTAAAATCGTCAGAGATGGCATTTTCAGTGGTTAAGAGGAAAAATTTTGCCTTATAATGGTGTGACGGGGTGAACACTTCATCACAGTTATAAGATAGGCCTTTTTCGCAGCGAGAGGCCATTTCCTCAGGATTGAGACGTCAAAAGTTGATACGGGGTTGTGGTGTAGGGAGGAGTGGGACGAAAGGTGGGGCAGAGAGCTACAAACAAAATGGGAGTGGAAGCATGGTTCCTGTGTAGAAAAGAGCAACGACGTTCTTCTATTTTATCCTCTTGCAATTTTGCGAGCTGAGTTGTGTGATCAAGAGATGCAGGACACAGAGCTTCGACCTCGCGACGGATTTTTGATGATAAACTGGAAATGAAATAGTTCAAGGCAAAAGTAGTTGGTAAGCTCACAATGCGATTGGCGAGTCGTTCAAACTCCATAAGGTATTGCTA